CACACACACACACACACACACACACACACACACACACACACACACACACACACACACACACACACACACACACACACACACAGACATATATATATATATATATATATATATACATTTATACATATATATACACATACATATACACATACACATACATACATTTGAATTTGTATATATAAATAGTTATATATACACACATATATGCCTATATACAATGATGATTTTTCTATGTACGAATGGGCTCCGACTCACATAAATTCACTCTTGCACACATACGCGAAGCTCAGCACTGAGTGAGGATCGGGCAAGCCTCTATACGACGTCCCTACTGGATCTCAAATCATTTCTCTGGGTGTAGTGACATATTATTTGTAAATCTTGATAGTGAGAGTAGTGTTTATAGTGTGTGTATATAGTGGATGTCTATCTAGAGAGGAGAATCTTCCACAGAGCAAAAATTATCGCGCAACGTAGCGTGCAGTCGGTGGCTTCTCAATACGGACAGACATACGGACGCAGGACGTACAGTTCAAGATCATGTCGTCGACGGAGAAATATGTTAAGCGTATTGAACCCAACGTACCATCTGCCGTGCTGCATCTCCGCAATGTGCCGCTGGAAGCCGTTGTAAGTTTAACTTCTTGTGAGTTCTCGAATTGGGTTGGTGTATCGTTGAAAGGTGATTGCAATGTTGGCCAAATATATCCGTTCTGGCACACGTGGTAGTTATACGGTGATGTGGTGGTGTATGTAAACGTATGTTATGTATAGTTTGAAAGTCACGAAATACTGTTTCATTTGGTCTGTGAATATCTGCGCTCGTATATTTACGTAGGCATATACATATGCTGACACATACATATTTAAATGGATATGAATGTTTCTTTATGAACATAATTAAAGGGTATGCGTATTTGTATTATTATTTGAAAATGAATCTCAAGGCAGCGTTGCAGTTCATAACATATTTTTATATATACGAGTCCATGTATATTTGAAGGATACGTACGTGTCCTTCTTTTTGTTTTGCTTTTTTCGGAATCTCCCTACTGCTGATATATATTCCATGGGTTTTAATCTTTTACCTGAAGGATTTTTATCTCAGGCTACCGCTTTCCAGATCGTCGTGTATATTATTATATCATTTACATCCAAATCCCATGTCGGTGATGTTTTGTCGGTCTAAATCTTTCACGACACCCAATAATAGTGACGTCCTAGTCCACTCAATTTCACACATAGGCGCGGGTATTTAAAAGTAGAAATTTGGTCCGTCTACCTGGCGCGACCCTGTATCAATCGGAATCTCAAACTTATCAACCAACCGTGTATCTGTGCTGTCGTAAATCCCCTTAATGCTCTTAGTTTCGCTCGCAATTCCCTGTCAATCTGCAACAAATCCAGGACACGGAGCTTCTCATTCTGGCGCGGAATTTTGGTAAAGTGAAGAATCTGTTCCGTCTACCCGGCAAGACCCAGGGCTTCTTGGAACTGGAGAGTATCCAGACGGCCACACAGATGCTCAAGCACTACCAAGTTAGCCCAGCCACTGTGGGCCAGAACATGATCTACCTGCAGTACTCGCAGCATCAAAGTTTGGTATATATATATTTAATTTTCAACCACGTGTGTGATATTTATATTTGCGAGGAATAGCGTGTACGATATTCCAAGTACAGCCAGTCTGGCACGGACACTACATGCCATAGCATGATTTACCTACAGTACTCGAAGCATCAAAGTCTTGTACGTTTATAACAATATAGCTACGTGTTCAAATTTTTGTACGCATTTTATGGCGTGTACCTTGTTTGGTACAATCAGATTGGCCCTATCCCTGTGGGCCAGAAAAAGTTTCATTTGCAAGATTCTTAAATCAGGACACCCTGTATCATTTATGGCGATTGTTCCCCACACCGATATCCAATATAGAACAGTATCTTCTATTCGCCAGAGCTTGCTCCTCAGTGGAGAGCCCCCTGTTCTAACTATAGCAACTGTAAATAGCCACCTACCTGGAAAGGGGAAGTTCAGTTCGCTATAGCTTTCTTCTCACCAAGCAACCCTTATACTTTTTTTAGCAATTGCAACCAGCCACCGATATTGTCACCTGCGACAAGGGAGAAGCGGAGGGTACAATCCTGGAGGTGAAAGTTCTGGATATGGTCTACCCCGTTACCTTGGAAACCATGTGTCAGATCCTGTGCAAGTACGGCCATATACTGAAGATCGTCAGTCTTACTCGCGGAGGTGTATGGCACTGCTATGTCCAGTTAGCTGACAGGACAGAGGCGAATAAGGCTATGGAGGTAAATCATATACAATTTACACACACACACACACACACACACACACACACACACACACAC